GTTAAAATGTTAAATACATCTAAAACGACCAATGGCCTGTAAATAGCTAAAACACAATCAAGTTGGACAGTGTCACTATCGCCATTGACATCGTCCAATATCAAAGATAAACCTCTATAAAAAACGTGTCTAAAATGGTGCCGTCGCTCACGCTCATAACGACGATGCGTAGCCGTGCCAAAACAACTTCCTCCTTACGATCTTTACGGAAACAAGACGGCCAAAGAGAGGTTTGATCTGGAAAAGCTTGTTATGACGTTGTTCATCCCAAGCCGACTGCCAACTGGTGCAAAGCCGAGCCTTGAATATAGGATCGTAGTCCATGTATGGCACAGGTACGGCCGTGATGGTATCAGAACAGACAGACTTAGCTGCGGTGTCAGCGAGCTCGTTCCCGCGAGACCGACATGACCAGATATCCAGGAAAACTTAATAGAAATGGAAGATAAAGGGCCTGTAGAGAGTCGGTCTAAATCAGTGTACTGCTCAGCTTATACACGTTCCAGGACAAGAGAAATGGCATACAACTAACTCCGCAGTGAACACAGAAGCCATAGAGGGGATTCTATGAGCAACCAAGAGCCAAATCAGACCATGGCAGAACCCACACAGTCAACTGATTTCGAACCATCGGTATAAATGGATACAGAAGAATGGTTCGAAGGATGTTCAGCAAAGAGAAGACGGTACTTCCAATCGGGAGTATCTGCCTTCCTCAAACGACTTAGAGAGAGGTCACAATGGGGGATGGTGACAAGCCATGGCAGAATGGGCTGATCACTGGGGACAGCAATGCCCCCTAATGACAGATCCAATTCAGCCAGCTGCTCCTGGATGTGAAGGCCAAAAGTAGGAATAGAAGGCCATCTGTGATGAAAGAGCATAGCCCATTGAGGGAGGAAGACACAACCCCAAGTGGGATGCTGTAGCAAGGATCGAAGCTTGGTAGCATATTGCAGAGAAATTTGCAAACGGCGGAGGTGAAGAGGAGGATCGTGGGTCTCAGTGTACAGACTCTGGACAGGAGAAGTGTGGAAAGCCCCAATGCAGAGCCGAAGCCCCTGATGGTGAATGCAGTCTAGCAACTTCAAAGCAGAGGCCCTACCCGAACCATAGACCAAAGACCCATAGTCCTGTTTGGATCGTATGAGGGCACATTAGACCTTTAGCATAGAACAACGATCCACTCCCCAAGAGGTGGAAGAGAGGATATGGAGGATGTTCAGTACCATTGTACACTTGACACGTAGCTGCGTAATGTGTGATATGAAAGTGAGCTTATGGTCAAAGATTAGTCACAAAAACTTAGCATCAGAAACCACGGGAAGAGCAACATCACCAAGACAAGGCTCGGGATTGGGGTGCAAGCCCCAATGGCAGCAAAAGTACATGCAAACGTAAAATAAAAGGTATAACCGTTTGCTGTGGTCCACTCCAACACTCGATTGAGAGCAGTCTGAAGCTGCCACTCAATAAACCTCATATTCGACGACCAACACGAAATGTGAAAGTCGTCGACATAGAGCCCATTTACAACTGTAGGAGGGAGTTGGTGAGTAATAGCATTTATTTTGATACTAAAAAGCTTGACACTCAAAACATAGCCCTGAGGGACTCCAAGTTCCTGTGTGAAAGAACGAGAGAGGGTCGAACCCACACAGACTTGGAATCGCCAGTCAAGTAAAAAGTTACTAATAAAAACGTCTGCGTACTTTATCAGCTGGCTCGAGCCCACGCTCGGCAGGTCAGGCGTCAAAGCCAGAAGGAATCTTGGATTTACTTCACCTCTTGCATCTTTTCTAACACCAATTCCAAAGTCGTCTGGGAGAAGATTCGGAAAGCCAGTGGAAAGTATGTTTCCCATCCCCTTTCTATCTTGCTCTCTGATTGCCAGGAAGTTGCTGATATACGAGGCATTGCTGATGCTCTCGGGGAGTATTTATCCTATTACTCAAGCACTTCTGTTTCCTCTCCTTCCTTCTTGGCGATCAAGTCTCGTGAAAAGCGATTGCCTCTTTCCTTTCAGGCCGATCATCTTTACGACTATAATTGTTTCTTCACACTGGTGGAACTTAAACTTACTCTTACTGGTCTGGCAGTACATCAGTTGGATGCTACGAGATGCCATCTTTCTCCTGCCTCTCTTGCTATCCTTCTGGTACTTTTTAACTGCATCTGGCAAGAGAACGTTTTTCCATATGCTTGGCACGAGGCTACTGTTTTACCTTTTTCTAAGCCTGGGAAGGATCCCAAGATTCATTCTAACTATCGTCCAATTGCTTTGACTAACTGTCTCTGTAAGGTTTTGGAGAGGATGGTTAATGCACGTCTCGTTTGATGCCTGGAATCATACAACCTCCTCTCGCCTACCCAGTGTGGTTTCCGTCGACTGCACTCCACCATGGACCACCTGATTCGCCTTGAGACTTCGATCAGGGAAGCCTTCCTCAAGAGAGAACATCTTGTTTCTGTCTGTTTTTGATCTTGAGAAGGCCTATGACACTACATGGAGGTACTGCATTTTGCGGGACCTTCACTCATATGGGTTGTGTGGCCATTTGCTTAGAAAGAGAGGGATACAATCGGAAAATATCCCAAGCCCGTTTTTGAGCCTTCCATGCCCGTTGGCAGGCAGGATTCCACCATGGACGAAGATACTGTGGAAAACGTGTCGAAGTTTTGGGAATAGAATGAGCAGCTGCCGTTATGATACAGTCAATCACTGCTTCCACACAATCGTCTATAGATGGCATACAAACGACAGTAGGATCAAGTTTTGAGAAAGCAGTGAAAGAGGACCAGTCCAACTTTTCACCCTGGCATTCTGGTCGGGTGGCATCGACCACGTCCAACCTCTATCAAAATTATGGGAAAATTATCACTGCCCTGTAAGCCACTGTCATCCTTTCAATAAAAGTGAGAGAAAAGTGAAGGAAAACAGATAGATAGATCTATAGTAGTAAAAGACTGACTGGGTGCAGGAATGTAAGTAAAAGCACCAGTGTTAAACAGAGACAGGTCGTAATTCGAGAGCAAACGTTCTATGGAACGACCTCTCCCATCTACTCGGCACCATCCCAGAGGGGATTGTGCCCATTAAAGTCACCCAGAAGGAAGACGGCAATTGTTTTATGAGAGCAACAAGGTCTGATTAATCGTGGGTCTCTTCAGGAGACAGGTAGATGGAACAACCAGTGATGGTACAATCCAAGGAAACCCTGATGGCGACTGCTTCCAAGGATGTATTGAGTGGCACAGACAAGGTAGGCACATACTGGTCAACCAACAATGCCACCTCTTCATGAACTCGTTCATCACTCAACCTGTCATTCCGGTATAAAGAAAACTGCCAAAGAGTGACAGTATCGGCAGGTTTCAGGAATGTTTCCTGTAATGAGAGACACCCAGGATGATAGTGATTGAACAAGGCCTTAATGTCATCCAAATTAGAATGGAAACCTCGACAGTTCCACTGTATTAATGTGGCCATATTTATTTAGGTGGTGGAGAACGGGGAGGAGAACTTTCCTGTTTACGACCACGCCGTTTTTCTCTATTAGATGGAAGTCAATCGACCTGCATGGATCCTGCCCTAGGTCGATTGGGCAGATCTCTGTCTGTAAAAGCTGATTCCAGTGACTGAGGGCGTGAACGAATAATCACCCTTCAGCACGGGCCATAGAAGATGACCCAAGCTGGCACTGGAAACAATTGTTGGGGACAATTTCCGAGCCTCAGGAAAATAAATATTATTCACAGTTCGCAGATGCTGTACATCTTTCTCCTACACTCATTAAGGGCAAGATCGGAAGTATGAAGGGTTGGAACCATTACAGTTCACACAGCAAGGGTCCAGCGCACACTCGTAGGAGTCACGGTCTTTGCCACCACAACGAACACACATTAAAGGAGAAAACGATTCTGTTGGAGGCATGGAAAGTTCAGTCTGCACTCCCACTACAGCAGTAGAATGTAGTGCAGCAGCGTAAGTCCGAGATGGAGTTGGGGACAATTTCCGAGCCTCAGGAAAATAAATATTATTCACAGTT